ACAGCTCTTCAAATCTTATTCAGTCTGATTAGATATGTCACCCTATCATAGATCCATTGGGGTCTTGAAATTTTATAAATATGATAAGAATGGAAACAGCAACCCTAGTCGCCATCTTTATATCTGGTTTACTTGTAAGACATTCCCCCCCCCCCCCCCAACCCGATGCATGAAGAAATGGAGCGACAACCCTTTGAAGTTCATCCATAAAGAGATATCCAAGCGACGACAACAGCATGTCGTAGAAGGAGATAACAAGTGGAGCCAACGACCCAGACTGAGAAAAATTACCGCTTATTTCAGACAGCCAAGTTCCCGTTCTTTTCCGGTGCACTCGCTTTATATCTCATAAGGAAAGTCCGAAGGCTAATTCGGCAATTGCTGGCTAGAAGGCGAAAACCGCTTTTGCCAATCAAAGCCTAGTTTTTTTTCCCCTCCTCTTCGTGTTCTATTGATCAGAAGCATCCAGCAGCGCCACGCCAGTAGAAAGAGTGTTGCTACTAAGCTAAGCTGCTGTTGGGGAATCCCCCACAATCAATCCACAAGGCTTCAGGCGACTGGAGCAACCTTTGAAGGCGCTCGGCCTTGTTCACCCTTTCAGCTAAGTAATCCGCTTTTTCCTTGAGGACAACCGAGATCCAATGAGAATTTGCGCGTAGCTTCTGGTCTTTGACATCAAAAAAGAAGGTTGTAATAACGAAAGGGACATGTGAGAATTTGGTCTTAGCTAGTGGAACAAGAAAGACATGGATCTATATTCAATACGCAATCAAAGGATTTCTCCCCAAAAAAGACTACGAATGACTAATGAGGCAGGATCCAAGCGGTAGATGTCCCAGCGACGTCAACTCAAGGAAGATTCGAGGGGGCTTTCCGCTGCACCTTTTGCCAATACTTGGTGATGGCGTTACACTTTATTTAAACTATATAATCATTATAAGGTTTTCCCCATATGTATATTATAGAAGTGTATCATTTTTGCTTCTTATTTTAAATTTTCATTTATGGGAATTAGCAATTTTCTGTACCTCACAACAACAAAAAAATGATACTTGAAACCAATTCATATTATTCTCCCTTAGATGTCTTTAACCACTTATTTTACTAGGAATCTAATTAGAATTTAGTGACCATAATCAATAGATCAGACCCGAATTCTTTTTCTCTCTTTAAATTTCCCTTTACGTTGTCCAAACAAAACAGAATGGCAAGCATTATTAATAATAACAATAACAATAAAAAGCTCAGTATAGTTATACAAATGGAGCCTGGGGAGGCAGTGTATGCAGACGTTACCCCTGCTTAGAAGGTAAAGAGACAGTTTCCGATAGACCCTCGGCTTAAGGTATATGAAGAGAAAGCGGTAGAAACAAGCAAGAAAATGGCAAGCATCATTACAATCTGAAAAAGTCCATTGATTATTTATTTCAAAATTTTTATCTATGTTTTACGTTGAAAAATGAAAGAAAAAAGAAAAGGGAACAACTGAATCAATTAATGACCAGCAACAAAGATCGCTGGTCCAAACTCTTCATTCTCATAGAAACTTCTGTTTAGTGAATCAATCCCAGCATCATCATCTTCATGATTTACTTCTCCTGCATCTTTTGTCCCTGACACCACTTTTGGTGTTGGATTTTGGCTTGTTACTGCATTGTTTTTTTGGTCTTGGGCATTAACAAGGAGAGAACAAACCAAGATTGTTAGGACAGAAAATGCAAGAATTTTTCTGTCCATATTTGTAAAACTTAAGCTGGGGGAGTTTGGAGTTTCTATCTTTGTTTTGTTGGTAGTTAATAAAGTTGGAAGATGTTGGAATTTAAAGGGAAAGTTATAACTGTTTTGAGAAAATTGAGGAATTGCATTTGCAACCATTGAAATGAGTCTTTTTTGGAGTATTTATATCAATGCACAACAGAAATTTTCAAAGGTCTTTATTTGCCACTAGTTCCCCTTGTGTTTTGCACAAGTGCTTAAACAAACACCACTAACTCGATCTCTTGTAATACCATCGAAGGGTGTGGCAAAATGGTTAAGAAAATCTCTCATCCTCATTATAGAGGTGTCAAATGGACGGATTGGGCTGATTTTAGATGGGTTAAAATGGGATGAGTCAATAAATGGGTGGGTCATCGGGTGTCAAATGAGCGAGTTAGACTGATAATGGAATGAGTGAATAAAAGGGGCGGGTCCCAAAAATAACTTGGGCTGAGATGGACTGGGCAAGTTGCGCTAAAATTTGGGTGATTTTTAAAAATAGCTAGATTTACAACTGGTCGTTCAAAAATAGCCCAATTTTCAAAAGTAATCGAAATTTAGCCACTTTTTATGTAAAGATAAATCTGAGCGAAAACACTGTTCAAAACCCGGAAAATACTCCAGTATAGTATGCTGGAGTTCTAGCATAAGTATACTTGAACTCTAGCATATTATACTGGAGTTCCAGGATAGTATACTTGAACTCCAGCATATTATACTGGAGTTCCAGGATTGGAGTTCCAGCATAAATACACTAGAACTCCAGCATAATATACTGGAGTTCCAGCAAGTATAATGGTCCAATATAATATACTGGAGTTTGGAGCACCAGTGCTCCAGTCTCCAGTATATTATACTGGAGCCTGCAAAGTATACCGGTCCAGCATAATATGCTGGAGTTCATACACAAGTGCACCGAACTCCAGTATATTATGCAGGACCGGTCTCTATTGCAGCAAAACGGTGGCTATTTTTTATTGACTTGGTAAACGCTGGCTATTTTTGATTGACCAGTCCGAAAACTGGCTATACCGTGAAATTTTGGCCTAAAATTTGGGTCATAGCCCAGCCGGCTCAACTCTTACCAAACTTTAATTAATGTGTATTATTTCTTATGAATTGTTTAATTATCAAATAAGACTTTTTTTTATTTTGCTATGGTCATATATAACATATCAAACAAAAGAAATTATTTTAAGGAAAAGGGTCAAATATACCCCTTTACTATGAGAAAAATATCAAACTTACCCTCCATTATACTTTCTGTCTAAAAATACCCCCGCTGTTATACAATTGGATCACATATACCCCTCCTCCGTTAAATTGTCCAATGTGGATGCCCAATTACACGTGGCAATGACATTTTCGCCTCATGGCACGCCACCTCATTGTCCCCAATCCATTTTACCCCTCCCCCTCACTTCTTCTTCCACCACTAACATCTCTTACTCCTTCACTACTAATGTCACCACGTGGTGAAGATGGTGAAAATTGTGGGGTCATGGTGGTGTTGATGGCGGCACTAATGGTGAAGAGGAGGGGTAAAACGGGTTAGGGAAGTGAGGTGGCACCACGTGGCCAAAATATCATTGTTGTGTGGGGTTGGGCGTCCTGGACATTTTTAACGGATGAGGGGTATATCTGATCCAGTTGTACAACAGCGAGAGTATTTTTAAACAGAAAGTATAACGGAGAGTAAACTTGATGCTCTTTTCCGCAGTAAAGGGGTATATTTGACGCTTTTTCTCGGTTGAAATGGGTTTGGGTGGGTCAGTGACCAGCCCAACTTGAACGGGTTGAACGGATCAAATGGGTTTAAGCTCAAATTGTCACCCCTAATTTTTAATAAGAGGATTTAGGTTCGGGTCTCAAAAATAAATTCTCTTCGACAGGAAGCTCTAAAACCTTCCATAGTTTGAGTTAATTGGAGCAATAAATTCCAAACACCATGTTTGAAAGTTGAAACTACACGCTTGAGGCAAGAATAAGAACTTCTCTTATACTAGATTAGAGTCATACGTCGAAGTTAATATCGTGTACGAACAAAATGAAATACGCTCTTTGTTCGTGTATGACACTATTTGTAGCGAGTTATAAAAAATGACATCATTTTACACTTGAGAACTCTTTAATTTTGAACTCTATCTTATCAGTAATGACATACTTTTACAGTTATAAAAATGTCACTGCACGTTTATAATGGGTATTTTTAATAATGTCGCAAAAGTATTTCTTTCTTTTTTAAATTTTAGAGAAAATACACAAAAGTAGTATAATATTACCCGATTCAAGGACAGTTTCATCCAAAATAGTCACTGAACGGTCAACGCCCACATTGCGAATGAAACTTTGATTGAAGGATCTACTCTGCCTTCTTCTTCATTCTTGTTCTTCGCCCCACAGCCGCCACTAATATCAGGTCTCACTTTCCCATTAATCACTTTTATAGTTTTCTAATATTGTTGCTGTATTTAATTTTTGTAACTGTTGAGACGATTTTGACATTATAATTTGTATTACATCTTTTTTTCGAGGTTATAAACTCATGTTTAAGATGAGATTAGTTTAAATGGAGTTACATGTTCAGTTAGAATTCATATAGTCGACCTCAACTCAACTCATAGCTAGAGTGTGACGTACCGGTAGCTTTTGCTTAGATTCTGTATCTATACACTTAGACCTTTCTATAATAGCATACCTATATAAAAATCATTCATTATAAAAGCCAAGTCTTTTTCGGAATCGATTTTTATATTGTGCTATAATCAGTGGCGAAGCGAGGAAATTCAATAAGGGTGTTCAAATTTTGAACACCCTTTTCCCGTGGGCTATGCAAGGGTTTTAAAAGTCTATTTTTAATCAATAAGATGTAATATTTTACCTTATACGTAGTAGATTTTCCGGCGAAGGGTGGTCAACATAACTTCGCCCCTGGTTATAATATATATTCTCTATAATAGCACTTCACTATAGAAGCTTATCGGAACAAACGAGGTTGTTATAGAGAAGTTTGACTGTATTAGGAAATTCATTAAATATGTATAAATAATTAATTGCGAACCAGTAACTAAGACATGCTATAGGTTCTTTGGCAAATTTAGAACTCAATAACTTCAATCTTGACTCCGTCTCTATCTGAGGCCTAGTTGTTTTTGTAAAGTAGTGGTAGACTGATAGTTTGTTTGATGTAATTTTCTAAGGAAGAAGAAATGGCTTATGCTGCTCTGACTTCTGCTGTATGCTCACTCGAGCTGTTCCTGCAATGCAATCATCCATTACTGAATAATCTTCAGAGGAAAGAACAGATCTTATCACTATGCAAAAGAATTTTATCTTTTCAAGACGGATTATGAAAAGCTGATGCATAAGCATGTAGGGCTAAAATTATTGGAAGGAAAAATCAAAGAGAAAACATATCAAGTTGAAGATATTGTTGACTCAAAGCTGAGAAAATATTTTTTGGCCAAAAATGCAAAGGACCGAAAAAGGCCTACTCAGTTCTATGTAAGAGGTTGGAGGTAGCAATTGAAGAAATGGAATTGATCAGAAAAGAAGCAAAGACAATTAAGGGTGACAAGATTAGAACTTGGAATTTTCATACACGAGCTTCACCGCCGGCTAGGAGGGATGTATCAACTGGTAGTCCAAATTTGCAACAACAAACACCGGTTGGTTTCCAGGACGACTGGGAGAAAATAATTGATAGGCTCAGAGGTGATTCTTCTGAACTAGATATTATCACTATAGTTGGGATGGCTGGTATTGGTAAAACAACTCTTGCGAAAAGAGCATATAATCATCCTTCTGTTGTTTACCGGTTTGATGTTCGTGCTTGGACCACTATTTCTCAAGAGTACAGAGAAAGAGACACATTACTTGACCTCTTTTATTCAGTTGTTCCTCCAGCCAATGGATCCAATCAAGAGAGCGACAAAGAAGCTGCTGATCGACTGTATGGTAGGCTAATGACTCAACCTTCAAAAGAAACGTACGAAGGTAGAAACCAAGAAATTGCTGACCGATTGTACAAAAGTTTAAAGGGTAAGAGATTTCTCATCGTCATCGATGACATATGGAGTACTGATGCTTGGGACAATGTGAGCATGTTGCTTCCTGATGATAACAATAAAAGTCGTGTCATACTAACAAGTAGGCTCATTGATGTCGCAACTTATGCTAATGCTAATCCAGATAGGCAACCTCACCGACTGAGTTTTCTAAACAAAGATGAAGGTTGGGAGCTACTCCGTGAGAAACTTTTCGGGAAAAGAGGATGTCCTTTTGAATTGGAAGTGATTGGGAAAAGTATTGCAGAAAAATGCCAAGGACTACCTCTAGCGATTGTTGTGGTTGCAGGGCATCTCTCCAAAATGAGTAAGACTCCGGATAGCTGGAACACTGTTGCTGAAAGTGTGGGCTCCGTTGTTAATTGTGAGCCAGGGCAGTGTTTAGACATACTTGCTCTAAGTTACAACTACTTGCCTCAACATTTAAAAGCCTGCTTCTTGTACATGGGAGCATTTCCTGAAGATTTTGAGATTCCTGTGTGGAAGCTAATTAGGTTGTGGGTTGCTGAGGGCTTCCTTAATGCAACAGGACATACGACCGTGGAAGATATAGCAGAGGAGTGTTTGGAGGATCTTATTGATAGAAGTTTGGTTTTAGCTGGAAAGCGGTCTAATGGAAAACTCAAAACATGTAAAGTCCATGATATCATGCGAGATTTTTGCGTAGAAGAAGCTAAAAGACAAAACTTTCTACATGTCTTGAAGCATTCCCTTGATGTTCTATCAGAAAGCATAACAGCTCTACGTCGGGTTAGTATCAATTGTAGCACCATCTTCTCAAGTTACTCTATTCAACCAACGGATTCTACCGTTTCTGTTTCTCGTTCCATCTTGGGATTCAATATTTCGGAAAGTTCAGTTTTTTCATACATAGACTTCAAATTGCTCAGGGTTCTAGATATCACTTTCCAACATTTCCCTCAGTTTCCCAGTGAGATAATGCAACTTGTTAATTTGCGTTATCTTGCAGTTGCCACTGATAGCGAATTCCCTCCACTAGTGTCACAGTTTTGGAGTTTGCAGACTTTAATCCTTCATCTGTGTTCTAGAAGCTCAACTTTGCCTTGGGAGATTTGGACGATGCCAAACCTCAGACATCTCCATGTTAAACCAAGCATCTGTTTGCCGAGCCCAACCAAAGTAGAATGTAATAGATACAGTTCCTTGGTTCTAAATAACCTACAAACATTTGCCAATATTACCCTTGCAGATTGTACAAAGGATGTCTTCTCAAGCACTCCTAAGTTAAAGAAATTGGGGATATGTGAATCGACCGAGTATACTTACCCAGTTCAAATTCCCTGGAGTGATTTTCTTTACACATCTGAAAAACTCTGGCCTTATGCTAGCGATACAATTTCAGACTTGTGGTTGGATTGCTTTAGAAATCTTGATCTCCTGCCTCAACTCGAGGCATTAAAGATTTTTGGGTTGAAACCACCTGTCATCTTGATGCACTTCCAGAGAATCTTAAGAAATTGACTTTGAGCTTCACCTACTTGCCGTGGGAGAGTATGACCTCTCTTTGTAGATTGCCAAATCTTGAGGTACTCAAACTAAAAAATTATGCCTTCACAGGACAAAAGTGGGAACAAGTTGAAGAGGGGTTCTGTGTTGATGATCGAGATGTCTGACTTAGAGCATTGGAGCGCCTCAAATGATCATTTTCCATGCCTGGAACATCTAGTTTTAAAGGATTGCCTTCACTTGGACAGCATCCCTCACGATTTGGGTGATGTTCCTACTCTGAAGATAATCGAGCTGGAAAATTCAAGCCAATCCGCTGTGCTTTCAGCTAAAGAGATTCAAGAGGAGCAGCAGAGTTATGGTAATGATGCTCTACAAGTGCGAATAGAGAGAAATTTCGGGAGAATAGCTGCTGTTGCAACTCCTTAGTCCACCAGGCAAGTAGAGAAATGAATTTACTACACAAGTTTTGATTGTTGAACGTTGGAAGTAACAAAATGAATAATTCCTGTGGGAGTATTTTAAAAATTTTAAATAGCCATGTTTTCTTTTAATTTTACAAGTGGTCATGAATATCTACCATGTGGCCTTTTGCATGAAGATATATGGCCAAATGGCAAAGTCGTAAACAAGTGGTAGAGGAGACATAACACTTATCTCTTTGCATGGAATGTTTTTGACAAGTAGATGAACACTTGTCATCTTCTTACACAATTCTACAACTATAAATACCCACTTCCTATACCATCCGAAAACACCAACAAATACTTTGCTCTCTCATGATTGCTAATGATTAGTAATCATCACTACAAGCCTTCTCTTTTTTTCAATTACGTGTAGCCTTTTGTGTGTTCCAATTTCTTTTATAACCTGTGTTTATTTCCTCATTCCAAACTTGCTGGATTTATTATTAATATTTAGCTGATTCCTGTATCCTCTAAATAACTAGAGATGGGCTTGTTTAATCTTGGGGAAACATTTCACATTGCTGAAATAGTTTCTTAGGATAGTGCCAAGCACAACTCAAGTCAATTCACGTATTTCCGCATACAAATATTATTGCAGTATTATTGTTGTTATTTTCCCATGTAATTTCCCTACAATTCCTACTACTAGCTATTTTCATTTGTGAACACCAATAATAACTTATTTGCTTGTTTGGCTTCATATCTGGATGCTTGCTTGGGTAGCTTATTATTGTAATTGTTTTCCTTAGCCAAAGGCAGGATGAATAAACCAAGTCGACGTGCAATTCTTGTCAAAAGTAGACGGTTTCTCAGTGTAGAAGTCATTCCTAAATCTAGTCTTTGCAGATTGTTTATGCTTTGTGTCAGTCTAAGTTATCAGAAATGTATTAGAAGTTTCATTGTGACACCTATCGGATGATGAACTTCTATTGTGGCTTAGAGCGAGTTTGGATTGACTTTTAAGCTGTTCAAACCAGGTTTTAAGCTCTTTTTAGCGTTTGGCAACTTAAAAAAGTGCTTAAAACAAGTAAAAAAAGTGCTTAAAACAAATCTAAAGTCATAAGTTGGGCAACCCCAAGCTGTTTGAAGGATCCTGTGACTCTTTTTGCATTTCTTGAATTGCAGTCAAACCTTAATTTCATAAAAGACATCAGGAATAGAGAGAATGTTGCAGCTATCTTTTAATATTGAGAAGGAAAAGTTGGCAGTTCACCCTCATATACAGCCCAAATTTAGCATTTTTTTTGGTTTCCCACCCGGTGTCCGGTATCCGTTTTGGACCCGACTAAATTCGGATTCGCGTCGGGAAGTCCCACATTGGGGTAAAATGTAGCATCTTTTGTTGAATAAAGTAAGCAACAGATTGAAAATTTGAGGAGAAAAGCTTACTGCGTACAAGAAGTTTGCTGGAATTTTTCTTAACTTCATTGATATATTAAACTGAAGCAAATATTACCTTTATATAGGCTTACAAATAAACAGACCACTAAACCACTAAACTGACCACTATTACCACTAATAAAGCAACAACTATCCACTACCATTAAACCATAAAACTATACCATAACTACTGCTAACCAATCCAAGTATATAAGACACTACTAACAAACTCAAATTTGACCAAGTCCTACTTTGAATCATTCATCAATATGCCCCCTTGATTCAAAGTTACAAACACCAAGCAAAGCTCTTAAGTAGACAAACTTGTCTGCTGCCAAAGACTTTGTCAGTATATCAGGTAATTGCTCATGAGTGCTACAATGCTTCAGAATTATCTCCTCCTTCGCAACCAAATCACGGATGAAATGAAAGCGGACATCAATGTGCTTAGTTCTGCTGTGAAAAGTTGGATTCTTTGTCATGGAGATCGATGCTTTGTTGTCACAGTATATCTCAGTTGCACTTTCTTGCTTATGTCGAAGTTCTGCTAAGATCCTTCTTAGACAGATAGCTTGGCAAGCTGCTGAAGTGGCTGCAATGTACTCAGCTTCAGAGGTGGACAAGGTTGTTGTAGCTTGCTTCTTGAGCTCAGTTATACTCTGATCCAAGNAGAGCTAGTGTAAATGATATCATCTACATAAAGACAAACAATAATGAAATCATTACCTTCCTTCTTCACATACAAGGTGGGTTCATTTTCACTTCTCATATAACATTTTTTCTGAAAATACCCATCGATCTTGCTATACCACGCTCGAGGGGCTTGCTTCAAACCATACAACGCCTTCTTTAGCTTGTACACCTTTGTCTCATTGCCACCCTTTATGAAACCTTCCGGTTGTGTTACATAAACTTCTTCTTGTAAGTCTCCATTAAGAAATGCCGACTTGACATCAAATTGATAAACCAGCCATTGCAATTGTGCAGCCAGTGCTAGAACAAGTCTCACAGTTTCAAATCGAGCTACTGGAGAAAATGTTTACTTCAAAATCAACACCATATTGTTGTGCCATAGCCTTTTTCCACAAGCGAGCTTTGTGCTTTTGTAGGCTCCCATCTGCAGCGAACTTCGTCTTGAAACACCCACTTTCAAGCCAATTGCATTTTTGCCTTCCGGTAATTCCACCATCTCCCATGTGCCATTCTTTTCGATAGATTTCATCTCTTCTAACATCGCTTTCTGCCTTTCTTCCTTTGTAGCCGCTTCTTCGAAGGATATAGGATCTGCAACATTGAGAGCAAATTGACAGGTGTCATAAATATCATTAGCATATTTAGGATTCGGCTTTTTAAGCCTTGTTGATCTTCTTTGTGGATTTAGCTCATCTGAAGACTCTTCAAGAGTTGGAGATGAAGAGCTTCTGCTAGGTGATGTCGCAGTTGATGAATCTGGAGAAGCTATAGAAGAACCAGCTGGTGTAGCAGTAGGTGTTAGCTGTTGATTTCCATCAGAAGTAATTCCAATGGGTATAGGAACCTGTTGTGGTATCTTCTCATCGTTTCCACTCCAATCCTAGCTTGCATTTTCATCAAATACTACATCCCTTCTAATCATGGTCTTGCCACTAAGTGGGTTATACAATCTGTAAGCTTTAGATTGTGTACCGTAACCAATAAAAATGCATTTTTCAGATTTTTCATCCAGCTTATGACGAAATTGAGATTTTACCAAAGCATAAGCAATGCATCCAAAAATTCTTAAGTAGCTTACAGATGGTTTTCTACCATGCCAAGCTTCATATGGAGTTTGATTCATGACAACCTTTGTGGGAGAAAGATTTAATAAGTAGACTGATGTTGCCACTGCTTCAGCCCGAAATTGATTTGGAAGTCCCTTCGCTTGTAACATGCTTCTTGCCATCTCCACAACAGTGCGATTCTTACGCTCAGCGACACCATTTTGCTCCGGAGTATAAGGTGTTGTCAACTCCCTGTGAATTCCATTTTCTTCACAAAAAAGATTAAATTCAGCGGACAAGAATTCACCGCCTCTATCAGTGCGAAGAGCTTTGATGAACAGATCACTTTGCTTCTCAACTTTGGCTTTGAAGTGCTTGAATTTCTGAAATGTCTCTGATTTGTTTTCCAAAAAATAAACCCAACTCATGCGACTACAATCGTCAGTAAAAAGTAGAAAATAACGACTCCCACCAAAAGATGTAGTATGCATGGATCCACATAAATCAGCATGTATTAATTCAAGACACTTTGAAGCCCTCCAAGCCTTTCCAACAGGAAAAGACTTTCTAGTTTGTTTCCCATAAATGCATCCTTCACACAATTCAATAGAGTCAATTTTAGGTAGTCCAAGAACCATACCTTTATCACTTAGTAATTTCAGGCCTTTTATGTTGAGATGCCCGTATCTCAAATGCCACAACTTTGAGTCATCCATTGTACTTGCAGCGAGAGCAAAATTCTCCAAGTTAGAAATATCCAACGGAAACATCTTATTTGGAGTCATGCTAATATGAACTCCTTTTCCTGACTTTTTGTTTGTAATGACACAAGCATCGTCATCAAAGAAAAGAGAATATCCGCCAGCCATTAGTTGTCCAACGCTCAACAAATTGTATCCTAAATCAGGCACGAATTGAACGTTATCCAGCATTTTTACTTTGCCATGGCTAATGTCGACACCCACCGTGCCTTTTCCTTCAACTTGCATCTCCTTTGTGTTGCCAAGCTGCACTTTGCTTCTCATCAAGCTCTTTGAACAAAGATTTGGCGCCCGTCATATGATTGAACCACTGTCCACAAACCATAAATCACTTGGCCTATGGTCGTTGTCAATATGAGCCATAAAAAGCTTGTTCTCTTCTTCCTTATTCCCTGCTACCCCTGCTGCAAAGTTCATCTTCTGATCTTTGAACCAACAATTTGCTTTAATATGCCCATATCTATGACAGTGGTTACATTGAATACTGTATAGGGTCAAATTTGACCGTCAGCATCTCTACGCCAGTGGGTACGCCCAGTGAGTGTACGCCGACTAACGTAGCGGGTACGACTCGGACGTGGGGACAAAAACGACATCGTTTAGGACTCAGTGTCTTCACTAGGGAGACGTTACCTGTCTTTGTAACTTTTTGATTCTTTCGAGGAAGATCTCTTATTATATAAAGGAGACCTTCACATTGTAAAGGGGGGACTCTGATATAATACAACTCTCTCATTTTCTGGCTTTCTCTCTCTATCTCTACCTCAAACGAACATATTCTATTGAGTTCATATTATCACTTTGCAATACTAGATCTACAACAATAACATCATCTTTGCATCTCTAGGTTTATTATATTTGATTACGATTTACCCTTTTCTTACTTTTGATTGTTTTCTAGCTTACAAAGTATATTGTTAACTTTTGAGCCGAACAATTTGGCGCCGTCTGTGGGGATTTCGAGAATCAAAATCATAGTATCCACCTAGAGAACAACCAACTACCATTCTCTAAATCACACAAACACAAAAGATGGCTGACAATAACCCAAAATCAAAAGCTATATTGGGTGTCACTACCAATCTCCTTGGCCCTCTCAACGAGGCCAGTGACGATGGCATCCTGAATGCAACCCCTAGTATCACATCGGGTGCGGAGATCTCACCTTCCTCATTCGAAGATCTGACGATCTTGCACGAAAAGGGAGCTTCCACATCTGCGGCTATGGAAGCACCCTCAGCGGTCAAGAAGCTACTGGAAAGATGGCTAACATGCACTCTGAGTGGCTTGGTTGAGAGGTCACCACAAAGTAACATCAGGTGTACACCAACGGTAGATACCACTGCTGCCGTGGGCGAACCG